CGGCTGCTTCTTCGACCAGTTTGTCGGTTTTCGCTTGTAAGTCTTCGATTTTGTGTGACATCAAACATAAATCATCCACGCGCGAAATCCAGGTCTTCTAGGTTCTTCACGTCGGTCCAGGATATTCCTGTCTTCTCGTTTCCCACTGTCTGACGCATAATCCAGTCAGTCCACCACAATTAGGAATATCATTGGTGATAATAGGCAGCCTTGTCTGACTCCTGTGTTTACTCCAAACGCCTCGCTGAGTTTTCCGTTGTGGATCACTTGACATGTGCCGTTGTCGTACAGCTGTTGAATAAGGTTGATGAATATTTGGGGTACGCCGTAGTACTCGAGTAATTTCCAAATAACTTCGCGGTCAACGCTGTCGAAGGCCTTCTCAAAGTCTATAAAGTTGAGGTAGAGGTTTGATTGCCATTCCATGCTTTGTCCTGTGATGATGATGCGTAGAGTTTCAATTTGGTCAGTACATGATTTGCCTGACTTTCCTGAATCCAGCTTGTTCTGGTCGGAGTTCTGTATCCAGTGCGTCCTTTAATCTCTCCAGGATGATGCGACTCAGGATTTTACTTGGCGTCGACAGGAGCATGATTCCTCGCCAGTTTTTGCAGAGTGAGGCTTAAGTCTCCCTTCTTTGGTAGTTTCACGAGGTAACCTTTCTTCCAGTCAGTAGGCACCTTTCCCTCCTTCCAGACCTTTTGCAATAATGGAGTCGACATGTCTGCTGTCGTCTCTGGGTCCGCTTTCAGTGCTTCAGGGGGTATTCCATCTGGTCCGGCTGCTTTTCCAGCTTTCAGAAGCTTGATTGCGTTCAAGACTTCAGCTCTCGTTGGAGGATTGGTGTCAACTTGCATTTCTGTGCGCGCTGTTGTTGGTATTTCTGAACGGGTTGCAGGTGATGGTCGGTTCAAGAGTCCTTTGAAGTGATCCGCCCATTGTTTAATCTGTCTTTCTTCCTTGGTAATTGGGTTCCCTTGGCTGTCTTTTATAGGTTTCGCTTGTGTTGATCTCTTCCCGGATAGAGATTTGGTTATCTGATATAGTGTTCTCAGGTCCCTTTTGCATGCTGCCTTCTCAGCTTCAGTGGCCAGGTTGTCGTAGAATCGTCTTTTGTCCTTCCTAGCACTCCTCTTCACTTCTTTGTCCAGTGCTTTGTAAGTCAAGCTCAGCGTCTCCTTCTCCTGTCCGTCCTTGCATTGAATCATTTTCTCTTTCACCATTCTCCTCTCTTCTATTAATTTCCAAGTGTCCGTTAAGAGCCATTCCTTGTCTTGTCTCTTCTTTCTTCCTAGAACCGTTGAACACGTTTCGTTGAGAATCGCCTTCAGAGACTTCCAATGTTCTTCCACGCATGATTCTTCAGTGATGTCGCGTAGTGTTTCCTGCTTTGCTCTGACAGTTGCAGTGAAAGTGTCTTTTGTGGTTGTGTCCTTCAGTAATTGAGTGTTGAACTTGCATTGTGGCCTATCCCCAGCTATCCTCGAGGCTTTTAGTTTCACCTTGAAAGTCCCTTGTACTAGATAGTGGTCTGAACCCACATCTGCCCCTCTCCTCAACCTTGTGTCCAGTAGGCTCCGTCTCCACTTTCTTGAAATTGAAATGAAGTCTATCTGGTTTTTGGTGCGTCCATCTGGTGAAATCCATGTCGTCTTGTGTATATCCTTGTGTTTGAACACACTACCACCAATCACTAAATCATTGAAGGAGCAGAAGTCTGAGAAGAGTTCACCATTGTCGTTCATTTCACCGAGGGCCTCACGACCCATGGTGAGTTCTCTTCTTGTGTTGTCTCCTCCCAGCTTCGCATTCATGTCGCCCATCAGGATTTTGATACCGCCATTTGGGACGTTGTCCATTACTGTTTGTAGTTGTCTGTAGAACGCCTCCTTCTTCTCTTGTTCGGAGACGTATGTAGGCGCATAGCATTGAATGATTGTAACCTTCCTTCCTTGTGAGTTGAACCTGGCTGTCATTATCCTGGAGGAGATTGGTTCCCACTGCATGAGAGCTTTGGCTGCTGTTGGTGACATCATGACAGCCACTCCCTCGGTGTGCTCGTGATTGTCCTCTGGGTGGTCAGAATAGATTATTTTCTCCCCAGTTGGCAGCTGGCACCTACCACACCCGTTCCATCTGCTCTCGCAGATTCCCATCACTTCTATCCTATATCTTCCCATTTCTGCTGCTACCTGGGAAGCCTTTCCAGTTTCGTACATTGCACGAACATTCCACGTACCCATTCTTATTTTTGCTTTCATCGAAAGAAGGCACATCGGCTGACTGGCTTCCGAAGGCTTTCACCAGCCTGCGTCATTTCCCTTCCCGATTCCAGCGAAAAATAAGGTTACTGTTTATATTTTTAGAATTTTTGATATATTGGTGCATTGAAGTTTCTGTAGCGGTTTGGTTGAGTTTTGGGGTGGAGTTGCTAGCACCACGCCCCAACCCTCCCTCTTTATCCGGGCTTGGTACCAGCTAGAAAACTAGCAAGCTAGTAGTCTAGGCGAGGTTCGAAATATCAATAGAGCCAGATTTTGTCTGATGTTTAACGCATAACACCAGAAAAGTCCATTAGAAATTTCAAAATACTGATTACTGAATAAAGAAGTCTTTTCGACGGCATCTTCATCAGGTTATACAGTTATATATCTATAATAATTAAAGAATTTGGGTTAAAATTAAGGTTCGTTGCTCCAGAAACTTGATTTTCCGTGCTCACTGGCGAACATCTACTAGTGTGGTTAAATAAAAGTATAGTGAAAACATCAGCAGCTCGATATTGAACCACCTGCCCCACACCGGCCACAAAGCTGATTAACAGTGACGAATTTTTCTCCATCGTCATCTATTCGGTGCCAAATAAATTTTCGAAAGCATCCGGGTACCGAAGACTGCAAACAGCAGTGGCTAATGCGGTCCGCCTAAAACAATGGGTGCTCTGTATATAGAAGAAACAGGTCCAGCCTGTACTACCTCCTTGGCAGGCCTTCAGTGGGAACTATAAATTCATGAATTGTATATTATTATTTTCCCCAATTTGTCTGATATTCATTGATGTGCTGTGTTGATGCATATTATAACACTTATAGATGCTACTGAACTGTAATCTACTGATATTATTGATTCGACGTTATTTGTACATTGTTGTTAATAACACGAATTCTTTCATTATAATGTATATATAACTGTAGAACCTGATGATGAAGTTGTCGGAAAGAATATTCTTTGTTCAGTAATCAGTCTTCTCAGAAAAAGGGGGACTGTTGGGCACGTGGCTTGCAACCTTATCTAGTAAAATACAATCCCATTGTTACGGAAACTTTAGAGAATAGACAAAACCAGCTTATACTTTGGATTAGAAGGCAGAGATTATCTGAAAAATGTGTTGTATCTGCGCTATACATTTTGAACAGTCTGATCACACATTTACTTGTCAAGTCGGTATATACCAAAAAAATTAAGAGCAATTAAATTAAATAAAATGACGAAAACAAGTTTTAAGAATTTTCAAGTATTTCTCTTGTAGGGATTTTGTTTCATTAGTTGGAGGATTTCATCATGAGCCCAAATCGCTTACAGAACCTTCGGAAAACCCACTAGAGAGTACTAGACAGCCAGCTAATTCGTCCTAGTTTAAGTCTCTTCACAGTACGCACCAAACCCAATGAGGTTCCAGCCCAGGAACTTCTGGCTACAAGGCTAGCGTGCTCGTAGACAATTGAGCCACTGGGGCCCGATCCAATGGCCAGCCCATGAATTTTAAATTCTGACTATTCATGACATAGCGCGACTACTTCGCGCTATGTCTCTTTCAATGAGTTACTGCTTCATCTTCAACCTGCTGCACCCTACTGGTCACGCCTTTCCTCTAGAAACCCAGGTCACTGCCTGATTAAGGCCAATCTCTAGTGAGCATTAGATTAATTTTCAAGTATTGGTTTTGTGGAGATTTTGCTTGATTTGATGCAGGATTTCATCATGAGCTGACATCAGTTAGAGAACAACAACGTTTGGTAACCCAATTAAATAAGGATTACGAAGGTCGGTTAAGAGTAATAATAATCGGTTTATGAGTACACATGGGGTGCTTGAGTTTATGAATAGCTAAAACTTCAGCGTATTGAAATAAACGCCCTTGATTATTTTTATAGATGACATTAAAGGCTGTGTTAACATCAATCTTGATTAGATTTTTGGCTATAGACGAAGTTGGTAGTCTGCCACCTGCGTCTATTGGTTTTTCACAATTCATTTGTTTTTCTAACCATTTCGGGATATGCTCTCCCACGTTCACATGCAAGGCACGATTACTCCTCCCTATGTATGCGTGTTCACACAACACACACACACACACACGGAAATTGTGGGGTGTGACATAATCACTTGTGCACTTTTTAGGCTTGTAGTAGAGTATATCTTTGACTTTTCTCGATAATTGCAAGCCGGGCCGCATAATAGGTCCTACTGATTACTAAATTTAACCTTTGTCTCAAAGTCCTACTGTTTGTTTCCGCGTTATATGGTAATTTGATGAAAATAGATTATTCAAAATGTATAGCGCAAATATATCACATTTTTCAGATAATCTCCGTCTTCTGATAACACCATCCGACTAACTGTTTTAAATTTTTGAAAAGAAGACTCCAACTTATACTTTTCTAGGATAATGAGCCCTGCTCATTTCGATGATGAATGAAAGTTTTCAGCAAGTCAGTCTACCGACTGATGTCTCTTTTTCAATGAAAACATACCTAGGCATAGGAGTAATGTAATAGTCAGAAAAGTTGCTCAGACTGAAGAAAATTTGAGGAAATATGATATGGAGGTATTAGAAATCTTTAAGACTAGATGGAGTGAAAATGGACTCTTCTATGTTGTTATCTCGACCATGCAGTCAAAAACCACGAACACACTAGAAATGTGGCTAAAATATACATAATATTGGAGACTATTTATAGAAGAAATGTACTCCACACACAAAAAAATATTTAACTTACTTGATCAAGTTTCTTAAAGCAGTTGGAAGTACCCTGTAAGTTTATCTTATGGCTCGGCGTATCATCACGACCAACAGCATTTAATTCCGGGAATAATATAAGATCAGAATCTTGGTAACTTTGTATTTTCACCTGTTGATCTCTGTTATTTTCTTGGCGATAATTGTAGTGAGGTGGTGAAGATTGCTTCAATTGTCCACAAGTTAACTCTTCATACAATAAGGTTTCGTTCAAATTAACTGAAAATCGAGGATTGTCTAATTCTGTTGGTGTACTTCGTAAGTTATTATTATTGTTGTTGCTATATGTATGTTGTCTTGTTGAAGATGTTGGTGATAACACTGTTGTTATCGGTGGTTTAAGATCTTGTGGCGTCAGCTTTATTTGTGTAGCTGATGGGGGTGGAGGTAATAACTTGGGTAAATAAAGAGATTTAGAATACTCTTTACGATTTACTTCTGTGGTTGTATTTGGCACATTGATAGTACCAGTGATAGGAGTTACCGCTGTTGGAGTTTCCACCGTCTTTATAAAATTATCTAATTGATCAGCTGAATTAGTAAATTCACTTAAAGCCAAATATGTTACATCTGTACCGAATTCATTCTCTTCACAATAAGTCATCTCACTCGACTGCATTTTAACACTTTCATCGTAACTATGCAAACGTACATGCATAAATTGATTTCTACCCAGCCTTCTTCTAATATACCTATTGTTACTATCATTTTTCAATACATTATGCGTAGTATTCATCCCTGAATTACGTAGTGGTATTGATTTTGCACGAGTTGATTTTGTAGAAATCTCCTTGTAATCTTTTTCACCCAACAGTATATCATTAAAGTCATTTAATAATGGAGTTGTTATCTTTGAAACATTACTTTCAATCATTTCATGAAATTGACTTTTGTCATTATTATCTTTACTACTGAAATGAACATTATCGCTAGTAGAAGACGGAGGTATAGCGTGTACATCAGAAGGATTCCATAGCCAATTTTGTGATGTTGAGCTACAATAGTCTTTTCTCTCATCAAAACGTAATAAAATCAACATTGAATCGATAGCTTTTCTTAACATTTAAGATTAGATTAACTGATCTCGATAATGTGTGGTAGACGGTTCAGCTGGTTTGAAATTCACAAAAATCCAAAAATGTCTTCGTGTATCTGCAATGAAATAAAACACTAAATACGTAAATGAGTAGATATATTAGGAATTACATATTGTTAAAGAAACGTAAAGTTCCAATAGAGAAAGAAAGATCAGATTTTCAGTATAAAATGATATCATCATTCTATTTCACAGGTTCTCATCAGCTGCTGCAAACTACCTGAAATTACAATGGTTATAAATAATGACATTTCATACTTCAGTGTTTGAAAGGTAATAGAGAAAACATTATAAGATGAACACATCCGGAATATAAGTATTACAATTTTTAGTTTAAGTCACTATCAATTTATATTTGAACAAAGCAAGAACTATAGTTTTAGCAGAGAAAAATTCTCCCCAGAGAATCTTTCAAATCACTGAATCATTTGGTGAAAATTCGTTGCAAAATGTCCAGAGAAGCGACTTGGTTGAAGTTTTAGGATGAATGCTTGTGGTCTCACTGCTTTCCACGCCATCTCATGAAGTCACTAACTAGTTGCAAATTACCCTCATCTCTCAAAATCTTCGACGCATTACAAAATCGCATATTGAATCAACAGAATCTCTGATTTCTAAATTGAGAACTGAAGTCGAATCTTTCAATGGTGTCGTCAATAGTTTGATTATAGTATGCCGGATCAAATTCATCTCAATTTTACTCAAGGACTTCAACAGAAAACATGTGAAGTCCTTGAATTTAAGCAGTAACATTGGAAGAACAGAACGAAGGACGTATCTACGATTTTCTGAACATGTACCAAAAAGCTTACGTCTAAAGGGAACAAATACATTAAACAGTGCCATCGCCAGGCATCTACTCGACACGGGTCATGAGGTGGACGTCAAAAAGTCATTTAAAATTATCAGAAGGCAAAAGAGCTCAGTTCTGCTTAAGTTCGCTGAAGCCATTTCCATCAAGCGCCTGAAACCTGATTTATACGTCTAGAAAGAAGTGGTTATCAGTCTTTCTTTGACCTGGTAACTGGATATTTTTCATCTATCTTTCATCTAAATGCGAAATGCTGAAAAGGTTCCATTGTGTATGATTATTATTGTTCGGAATAGTGTTTAATATTTCACATATATATATTATTGGTGTATGTATATATTTATCGACTGAGTGTAAGTGCAAGTATGTTAAAATTGTTTTAGATATGATAGAGAAGATTTGAAGCTCAGGTGGATGATTTTGATGTGGTTTTGTTCTCTGAGCTGGATGGTTAGTTTGCGAAGCTTTCATCACCTTACTGGGTGACATCTTCAGCGCACACTTCAATTTGAAGTGAGCTTTTAGATTTCTTCACGAGTTTATTAATCATCTCTCCTGGTGACCTTGGACGTGATTGGTTGTTTGTGTGTGTTTTCACACCTTCTAGGTTACTTGCATTGAAGTATGCGCTGAAGATGTCACCCAGTAAGGTGATGAAAGCTTTGCAAACTAACAATCCAGCTCAGAGAACAAAACCACATCAAAAAATTGTTTTTGTAGATATATTTAATCTCTTTGTCTTGTAAGCAGCTGACGAGAAGGCAACGAAATAAAAGATGGTACCACTTTATATGCTGAAACTATAGTTCTTGCCTTGTTCAAATTCATTTAGGGGAATAAATGTATGAAATCAATTTATATGCATTCAAGCTTTGAAAAAAAGGGTTTGGGTGAGAGAAGACAGAAATTAGAAAAATGCAATGCACAGTGTAAGTTTGTATGTCAACATGGTAACTCAAGAGGGTGCTAGATGCACGCACACAGCAAGTACATTGGAGAGAGGGAAAAAGAAGGGCTTCTATCCGGTTTTCAGAACATATTCCGAGAAATCTATGCTTAAAAGGAAGCAGATATTTACAAAGTGCAATTACCAAAACAACTTCGGGATACCTCAGGTCATTTTATTGAGATTTCCAAATCCTCCAAAATACTGAAAATACAAAGGACAGCAAATCTACTGCGGTTTACTGCTGAAGCAATTGCAATCAAACGTTTCAGACCAAACTTATGCACACAGACAGAGAGTGTAGTCAATCTCTCACTCCCTTGGTAACCGATTGTATTAATTTCATTACACTGATTAGTGATGCACACAAGTGAGCTCAGCTCACTAAGCAAGCTTTCAGTTTGATAAACTTTAACCTACTTGAATTGCTACATACATGTGCAAGTTAACACTGTTTATTGCATTTTTCTATTTTCTGTCTTCTCTCACCCCACCCTCGATTTTTTATAGCTTGAAAGCATATAAACTGATGGTGACTTGAACTGAAAATTGTGATACCTATATCCTGGATGCGTTCATCTTATAAAGTTTTCTCTATTACATTTCAAACACTGAAATATGAAATGTCATTATTTATAACCATTGTAATTTCAGGTAGTTTGCAGCAGCTGATGAGAACCTGTGAAATAGAATGATGATATCACTTTATACTGTGAATCTGATCTTTCTTTCTCTATCAAAATTTGTATGAAACGTAAAGTTTTCAAGTGTTAGTTTCTTAAGGATTTGATTTATTTCAGGGTTAATTACTCATTGATATCTGTTACAGAGCCATTGAAAACCATCAGAGAGAGAGCATTGTAGAGCTGTTTCGCCCAGTTTTAGGACTCATCAGTAGTACACATCCAAGTAAAGCGAAAATTACTGTTCAAGTAATCAGCAATGTTATTTCAAAATTTGTGGTTAGTTGGATACGACAGAGATTTGTATTGAGACTAAAGTGTCTAGATATCAGTGATAAATCACATTAATTCATTTCCAAATATTACGAATATCTCTTGTAACGGAATAATTGATACCCATTTTGAATATTTCAACTAACTTTATAATTAATTTTCCTTTTTTCTCCTAGACTTTACATATGATTGTTCTGGCGTTCGGATTACATTTTTGTGACTTCATTCTTGTGTAATTCCTAACTTTAATGCTTCTTCTCTCTGTGGCTGTGTGATTCATTGGTAGGGTGTTGTTTTACAATACAGTTCCTTTTAGTGAATGAGGGTGATCATGATCTCGGGCTGTCTTATAATAATAATAACAGCTTTATTCCAAACAGAATTTGTGGTACAGGTATGGAATTTTCATCGTGCATTACAATATATTGTATCTAATTACCTGATAAATTTTATAAGATTTTAAAATCAAAAAGCAACAACCAAAATAAAATAGATAAATAAAAAGAACAGCGTTGCGTTTACATTTTAAACAATGCACCACAGGATATGAAATATAAAATTAGTGTGTGGAAATGTTGGTGTCTGATTCTGGTGGACAAAGTTTTGATCTCACCTTGTCGGCAATGTTTTACTTGATTCTAATGGTACTGCTTACAAGTAAATTTCGGTACACTAATCTTGTTCTACAGTACTTTTTTGTACTTAGAAGGTTTCTTTGGTTAACAGACTGGTTGACCGAAGTGTTGAAGTAATCTGAGTTTTTGATGTTATTCTGGTTGCTGAATAGCACCATATAAATATTCAACCACGAATATTCGTCTTCCTGGTGACTATGGAGCGTTTTGTGACTACGTGTCTCAAGGAAGTTTTGAACAGCTATGCTGTACGATACAAAGACCTGAAGTCAGACCACAAGAAGTTGGTTTTGGTCGTAATCCCATAGTGACAGAAGTGTTGAGTCATTCAATGGGCGAACTATAGTGTGTAAATCATTACTGAACCCATCGATTTAAGTGATTTTAAACAGTCGGCAGGAAGATCTGGACGTGGAGATCGTGTTTTATCGGCGCCCGTCAACAAGGTGTATATGGAGCCTTTAAGGAAGTGATTTTTGAAATCAGAGACGTCAAGACTGAGTATTTTGGATTAAGATTAGAAGTATGTCTTGCTAACCAGTGCCAGTAAGGATGAAGCATAGGTCAAGGGCTTCCTGTTAATCGTTTCCAAATATCCGGCACGAATTCGATATGCAAACTGAGATAACGAGTTCTCTAATCTGGTAATACTCACTGTTCAAACCTGATTGATAAAATTCAGTCTCTAACAAAACAAGGGACATAGTCTACCAGCCAGTAGCCATGCAATGTACACTGAATCTATCACCGATAATTTCAAATTAGTATACTTCTTAATTGTGGTGGACTACATTATACCGAAGACTGTTGAGAGCGAGAAAGGAATAAGTAGGACCGATAGGAAAACTCTAGAAGATCTGCACATTGCAAAGGATTGATAGATAACGTCGCATAAACCTGAAGACTAACAGATGAAAATCAGAAAACTGGCAGAAGCTGCAGCAAAGACAGGACAAGACAAAACTTAATGAAAAATGAGTCTATTGTTAATCTCCGACCTGACAAAGGATCAGGTGTTTTGATAATGGATAAAGATAATTATGTGAAAAAAGTGGAATCAGTTCTGAATGACTCATCAACATTTCCAACTGATCCATCGAAGAAAGATCAAACCGAGTCGATGAAAAGACGGATTACAAAGAAGCTAAGAGAACTTTTAAAGAAGAAGTTGATTGACGACGGCATATACAACGAACTAAAGCCTAAGGGATCCAGATTGTCTTAATGTACGGCTTGCCAAAGATGCATAAGCCTGACATCCCTATGAGACCAATATTATCTATGATTAATTCGCCGTATCACAAAGTAGTTAGGTGGCCAGCAGAAATGTTGGAACCAATCCGTAGTAAATTAGCAGTCTACAGCCTGAAAGACACATTCCAGTTCGCTAAACAATTAGAGAATCTAAATATCTCAAATAAATTTATGGTGTCCTTTGATGTGTCTTCACTGTTTACAAAGATCCCATTGGAGGAAACAATACAAATTATATGTCAGCATGCCGAACTTCTTCCTCTACCCAAGAACGAACTCAGACAACTTTTACTTATGTGTACCAAAGACGTACAGTTCCAGTTCATCAACACTATATACCGCCAAATTGACGGAGTCGCCATGGGAAGCCCCCTGGGTCCGATTCTGGCAGATATTTTTATGGGTAGTCTAGAACAAACAAGGCTAAAATCCTCAGTTAGCCATATAAACTTCT